AACCTTGCCAAGGAAATGCCATTATAGGTTTGTCTTAGAATTGCTGTAAGTCAAAACGACTTGAAGGCACACAACAATAAGGAGACATATCCAGGGAGAGATGTGTTGGACATGCAGCAAAATACAGTAACATCCAAAACCCACAAAACAATGATACTTTTATTGGCCAACAATGTATATTTATTGATTTTGTGTATTTTGGTTGGCCAATAAAAGTATTGCTGTTTTGTGGATTTTGAATGTTACTGAACAATAAGAAGGTTATTTAGAGCAGTGCAACTCAGGCTAGCTGATGTGTGGGAACTGGCAATCCCTCCCTCCTGCCCCATTCTGCATTCAGTCTGGGCATGTTGGGAACAACTACTTTTTTCTTTCCTGGACACTTGCCAAGGACTGCCTCTTTGATCTAGAACAGTGTACACAAAGTGTGGTCCATGTATGGGATAGTGAAAGATGCATAGAGTACAATGATGGCCATTTTCATGTTGATGTCTGCAGAACATTTTTTTAACTCCATAGACCAATAGTTTCTTACCTGAGGTCCTCCAGATGTTTATGAACATCAGCTCCCAGAGGGTTTAACCATCATGGCCAATAGCTAGGGATCCTTGAAGTCCAAAACATCTGGAGGATCAGAACTGAAAACCAATTCTCTAGACTTGATCAGTCTGGCTAAGCTCCTACATTTGCGGTTCATCCCAAGATGTGGGAATAAGTGAAGCATTTGCCTCTTCTTTTTCCAATTCTCCTTCAACTGGCCTCCAAATGGAAAGGTACAAGTACAGAAAGCTGTTGGTCCAAAAGAGTCTGAAAACTGGCCACATGCTGAATGTACCCTGCAAGCAGCACTCCGCCACTACAAGGATACCTGCTTTTACCTGCCTCTGAGTTTGACCCGTATCTTGAGAGCCAGCGTGATGCAGTGGTTTGAACATTGGACTATGACTCTGAAGACCAGGGTTTGAATCCCAGCTCTGCCATGTAAACCCACTGGGTGACCCTGGGCAAGTCACACTCTCTCAGCCTTAGAGGATGGCAATGGCAAACCCCCTCCGAAGAAACCTGCCAAGAAAACCCCATGACAGGTTCTCCTTAGGGTTTCCATAAGTTGGAAATGACTTGAAGGCACCCAACAACAACAAGCCCAGTTTCCTGGGCTGGACATTAATCGCTTTTCTCTCTTCCAAAGTTACCTTTTCTTTCTCAGCTATGCACCAAAGAATAATTTTGTATATCTGTTCATCTGACCTGCATGTTGTTGTTGTTGTTGTTGTTGTTATTTTAATGTCATACCTGAATGACCTGGCAGAGCTTATACCGTACCTGTTTCCAACGTGGATAACAACCCAAATAACATTGACGAGAATGCACTCCGCATTTCCTGCAAAACATGCACTTTAAGCCTTTGTTTGACAGGTCAGAATGAAGCCCTACGGATGAGAAACCCCCGGTGGCCTTTTGCAATTTTGATGGTCATGATTGTTTATCTTTTCCTGTTCGGTTCTTTTCAGAATATTACAGAAAGAGATTTTAAAAACATTGTACCAATGTCAGCCAGCGTAGTGTAGTAGTTTGCGCGTTGAACGATGACTCCGTGGAGACCAGGGTTTGACTTCCTGCTCAGCCCTGGAAACCCACTGGGTGGCCTTGGGCGAGTCACACACTCTCAGCCCCAGAAAATCCTTGATAGGGTCGCCATAAGTCAGAAATGACTTGAAGGCACGCAACACCAAACCACAATCAAATGACTCCATTCCTTCCCTCCTTCTAACCCTCTCATCCGTTTGACTTCTGCACCATACATAAAGACAGCTGGCTCCTTCATAAAGAGAATAGAAGGAAAGACAGAATACACATTCACACCTATCTTGATGGTTTTTAAAATCTGAATAGCCAGCCCTTTCTACCCTAAGGTCTCCTAGCTGGGAACAACACATCAAACCTGGTGGGTGCCCATCTGGACGTATACATTTCGTTTGCCCTGTTATTACACGCCAGGAAACCTTGGCAGGGGAAGAACTGGGCATCCAAATCCAGATGCTCTCCGGTGATTATATACTTTCACACACTTTCACACACTGAGGTGTGAGCATATAAAGATATCCATAG